TGCAATACTATCTTATACAAGAAATTCTGGTTTCTGGTTGGATAATTGGCGCAGCGCATGCCCAGAACGGTTGTTTTTAATGCCGAAGTCCCGCTATTTTATGAAGGCGGAGGTTGTTAATATTCAAACCTTTCTGACGAAGCTTTCTGCGCGAGTATTCACGACTGTGACGGTGGTAGGTCATCATATTACTATTCATATCATATTTGTTGTTACTTTTGTGATTTGTATACAATGGCTTCAACGAGCGTGACGAGCCTTATGGAAAGCCACAGCGGAATTTCGTTTCATTCGTTGCTTTTAGCATTATATATGTGGTGCTTTTATCGTTATACGAGGTGCTCTTTACATTATACGCGGTGCTACACTTCGAGTTCGAGCATTATATGCGACGATTTTGACATATATCAAGATATATGGGCTACACGCAACATTGTACGAGGTGCTTTTAACATTATACGTGGTGCTTGAGACATTTATTTAATAATATACGCGGTGTTTGAGACATACGAGGTGCTTTTAGCATTATACGTGGTGCTTGAGACATTATACGCGGTCGGTATAACGTTATACGCAGTACTCAGTGCAGAAGGCAATATTTTTGCCTAGCGCAGCACTTCTCTGAGCTCACACAGATCTTCTCTGGGCCAGATGGCATTTTTTGTATTTTACGAAGCGAAAATACTCCTGTTAGAGGTGTATGGAAACTTTGTTTAGTGGCATCCTTCCCCCCTCGAAATCGCAGGAAATGCCATTTCCGCGGTTCTAGATTTCAAATTTTCTCGGGGGGGCATGCCCCCGAACCCCTCTAGGAAGGTCGCACCTTCGGTGCGAGGGGTCCGCCTTCGGCGGGACGATTTTTTTCATCCAGCTACGCCACTGATTATAAAGACCAATTTAGTGGAGACTCTCGTGTTCAGAAAGATGCAGTCATCTTTTGCTGACAGGTTAAGAAGATGCAGTCATCTTTGCTTAATCAGTTGAACCTAAATTTTTATAATATAATAACACATGCTATTATGCATGAATCATTGTATATGATATTGCGGTTGCAGCTACATACGGTAGCTATATATTTTTAGGTCTGTATTATCATAGTTATAATTCAACAAGCCTTATTTCTGCGCGAATTGCATTGACTAGAACTGGCCATGCCCATGCAGCCAAATGAGTAGAATGTATAGCTACATGTATGATAATCAACAGACCGCAAAAAGTACACGAAATCTTTTTGTTTTAAAATCAGTTTGCAA